TATGGAAGAGTGGCAAGAAGAAAGCCATTTCTTAAAGATATCCATAAAAAGTGTCGTTTAAAGTTTGCCACAAGCCACCTGGGAGACGCACCAAACATGTGGAAGAAGGTGCTCTGGTCAGATGAAACCAAAATCGAACTTTTTGGCAACAATGCAAAACGTTATGTTTGGCGTAAAAGCAACACAGCTCATCACCCTGAACACACCATCCCCATTGTCAAACATGGTGGTGGCAGCATCGTGGTTTGGGCCTGCTTTTCTTCAGCAGGGACAGGGAAGATGGTTAAAATTGATGGGAAGATGGATGGAGCCAAATACAGGACTATTCTGGAAGGAAACCTGATGGAGTCTGCAAAAGACCTGAGACTGGGACGGAGATTTGTCTTCCAACAAGACAATGATTCAAAACATAAAGCAAAATCTACAATGGAATGGTTCACAAATAAACATATCCAGGTGTTAGAATGGCCAAGTCAAAGTCCAGACCTGAATCCAATCGAGAATCTGTGGAAAGAACTGACAACTGCTGTTCACAAACGCTCTCCATCCAATCTCACTGAGCTCGAGCTGTTTTGCAAGGAGGCATGGGCAAAAATTTCAGTCTCTCGATGTGCAAAACTGATAGAGACATACCCCAAGCGACTTACAGCTGTAATCGGAGCAAAAGGTGGCGCTACAAAGTATTAACTTAAGGGGGCTGAATAATTTTGCACGCCCAGTTTTTCAGTTTTTTATTTGTTAAAAAAGTTTGAAATATCCAATAAATTTCGTTCCACTTCATGATTGTGTCCCACTTGTTGTTGATTCTTCACAAAAAATTACAGTTTTATATCTTTATGTTTGAAGCCTGAAATGTGGCAAAAGGTCGCAAAGTTCAAGGGGGCCGAATACTTTCGCAAGGCACTGTACATAGAGTTAAGCTCCTGTTCATGTCATTTGTCACAGTCGACATATTATCAACATACTTCTGAAAGTTTTAGGTCAACACAAGTCTTAAAGTAGTGTGACTGCAGAGTCAAAGTAAAAATGCGTTTGATATAATTTTATTAGACTTGAACTCGATCTCTTGATCTTTTTTTTTTCCGTTGTGAGTTGACATTAGCCTCAGGTGGTGACTGCTGTTGAGTGTTTAAAGGCCTGAGCTTTAGAATTTAACAGTCTTTCACTCGGTTAGCGCTCTGGGCCTAATGGGTCAGATTGTAAAGATTAAATGTTTATTTAATGTGTATGCTTGTCCAGCTCAGGCTCATCTGTCAATAATTGACTTAATTAATGAATGTTAATTTGTATACTGATAAGAATTTCGAGACAAATATACAGTATGTTGTTTACCACAGGTGTCTAGCTAAAGTATGGCTACAAATATAATTATTTAATAAGACCCTCGAAAGCTAATCTGCAACTATTTTTATAATCCCACTTTTATTAATAGGAATGTTTACATTGGTCAGATATTTGACAATATTACTTTGGGTTCTTGGAACACATGAAGGGCATTTGTCACTATTTGCTGATATAAATGATTGAGACAAATGTAGGGCTAAAGACTCATGTTATTGGAGCACACACACACACACACACACACACACATACACACACACACATGGTGTCAAAGGTTGTAGGTTATGCAATTTTGCTGTAGGTTTTTGATGTTGCTCCTTTTTACCTGCTTTCCTTCTGTCACTTCCTGTCAAATGGGGAAGGATGGCAGCACTGCTGTAAACAGCTGGCCATTTTAGAGGGATCCCAGTTCCCTTATAGCTCTGTACCACAGACAGAAGGAGACTTACAGTATATTTAATGGGCTGTCACTTTGCACGGCTTTATGCTTACATTTATTTTTAGGAGCACTCGTACACCTAAATGAAAATTTATGGGCACAGTTATTTTTTAAAGAAATGATTTTAATGCTGTTGTCTTAATGATTAACAGTTACAAAGGTATGAATACAGTAAATGGCGAACACTCATGAATGGAATGGGTCTGACCCAGCCACCTAGGACCACATAGCCCCGCTGGCGCATCTCCCAGAAATTCACTTTACCATAGATGAACAAACAAACCAGACGTCTGTGTGCAAACCAAGCACTTAGTTACCACTCTTAAAGTCTTTGTCTTGTAAAAGTAGACCACAGTGTTTGAAAACACTTCTAATAAAGCACAAATTTCACCTTTATGTGGCTTGGCCTAGTATGTTTTGCTGCCTTCTGGTGTCCTGAGCAGCAGTTTACTCAATACTGCTACTGGTGTAGTTTGCCGACTATTTCTGGAGATGAGGTTAACGGTCACACAGATCCAGGGCTGATCATCACTACACAACTACACAGTTAGCTATTAGCCTAACATGCTCACTATGATTAGCATATACTGTTGGTGGATGACAGCCTGTGCTGTTTGCTAACGCTGAAATTGTTGCAAGGGGGCGGCTGTGGCTCAGGAGGTAGAGCGGCTCATCTCCTAACTGAAAGGTTGGTGGTTTGATTCCCGGCTTCTCCAGTCCACATGGCGAAGTGCCCTTGAACAAGACACTGAACCCCCAATTGCTCCTGGTGATATGACTGGTGCGTGAATGTGTGAGTGCTTGGGAGTGTGAATGGGCAAATGGTGTGAAAGTGCTTTGAGTGTGCTGCAGTGCATAGCGCTATACAAGTGTAAGACCATTTACCAAGTATGTTTACTGGCTGTTTTGATAAATTACAGGTATTAGCTTTTTAATCGCAGAGATTTTACAGTGTGTACAGTATTGAGTGTATGTGTTTTCACCTTTAGTAGGCTAATGTTTTCCATCACCCGCCTCCCTCTCTGCACCGCATGCTCTCAGCTGCTGTGTGTGGAGGAGCTGAGCCCTGCGCTCAGTCAAACACAGACACAGTGAGCGGTGGTGGCACAGACAGAAGCTGCTCTATAAACACCAAAACCAAATTTTCCGATCCACTAATCTCACTCGCTGGTCTTTTTGAGTACTTATAAAATGCTCCTGGTCCTTCCAAAATGAGAACCCAAGGAACTCGGAGTCAGTTGCACCTGTGCGCCCAAATAAAATTTCCCACTCACAGATTCTGAAATGCACTTGTGTATGTGAGTGAAGTGGTCACGCTGTCGATGCCTGCTTTGTTGTTTTGGCTGGTGGCCCAGGAGCCAGAGATGATGGGGTTTGTAAAACAAGACAAATGCAATTGCTTGGAGCTGGAAGTGGTACTGTATTGTAGAGGAACCACCATTAGAAGCTCTATAATGTGCTTTTTACCTCATTTTGCATTGTCACAGCAATAAACAGTGGTTCAATAAGGCCTCTGTCACAGCCAGATCTCATACATGTATATCAACGTCCAGTCTAAGTCGAGTAAGAATCTGTCATTTCAAGACACTGAAGAGACTGGCTGTTCAGTGGAATGAACTAATCAGTATTGTTTGCAGATGATTGTCTTGGGGCTGATGCTGTAGGTCGTTTGCATGGTAATAGATGTTTCATGTTGATGCTGGTTAAATTCTAATGGTGATGTCGATGTTAAGGCAAAGAATACGTAGGAGAAATATGTGATTCCTGAAAATAGATGTACCGGGGCAAATGATATCAGGGTTTCATTACACCACCACAGAGCACGTTATCCCTTAACTAAGATACTACATTAGTAATAGCTCTCAAAAAACATTGTCCTGGCATTCAGAAGTGTCCATCTGCAAATGTTAGTAATACCAACCTACTAGTAATTTACATCTGACATCGTTTAAGCAAAGTGCATCTGGCGTAGCCCACATAACCGTTATAATGGTTACTGACACATTTCTGTCTCCGCTTTAGCTGTTGAGCTAACCATATAGCTTTACAGACTGATAGGACATGCTGCTTCTCAGCCACTGAAGCTTAAAATATTAATGTGATGTGTATAGCTAAAGGTTCAGCTGGGAGATGCTGACTGCTGCTAGCTAGCTGTTAACCCTGTTTGGGTTCCCAAACAAGCTGCTAATCAACCTCAACAGTGGTGTTTTGTATGAGAATAATGTTACAGACACCAGCTGGCTGAGAAGATTAAATGTTACCAGATGACAGCCGAGATTGATTTAGTAAGATAGCTCCCTCAGAATACAAATGTGTTGGGTACAGTTTATGAAATCTGACAGCAACATCTGCCATTTAAGCTGACAGATGCTGTCTTAAACTGAGAACACTGATAATGCTGGCCTCTTTGGTTATATTAAACTGTTAACTTTAATTATTAGCATAATAATGGTAAAATTTATATTAAAGCTACTGTGTTTAAAAAAAGAAAGTGCCTACTGTGAGAGGGGTCACTTGGCATGATGAACCCATAGAGGATGATCTACACTAACCTAAAGTTAGGTTATAGGCTACTAAAAACCCCAAATGGTTGCTATGGCGTTGATAAGTGAGGTGAAAAAAGAAGTGATGTGGTGGATGAAAGACAGCTGAGACCTCAGTGTGGATGCTTTTCCTGCAGAGAGTCTACCATTAGGACCAGCAGGAGCATCAGGCCAACCAGAGTAATACCATGAGACCTAAAACAGTGAAGGATGGGTGTGTGCTCGTACAATACAGCAGAGGTTTTTATAAAGCCTCAGGTCTGTTGCACTTATAGAGCCAGTTCTCCACAAAACACCAAACACAACAGAAGTAATCAGACCGTGACCTGCATTTACCAAGACTCCGCCTACCAGTTACATTCTTCACAAATAACACAAGCCAGAGTTGATGCATTCCGCACTGTGTTGCGTCATGATCTTTCAAAGCTAGTGGACAGGTTTTCCAACCGGTTTTTTGTAAAGGTAAGAGGACAGTATCCATCCCCTTTAAAGGGTAATAAGTAATTTTTTTCTAGCAGATTTGAGACATTATATAAGGTTCTCCCCATTTGTGGGGTACAGCTGCATTAGTTGGATGTTTTAGGAGATTTAGCACAATCAGGGAATTGACATCAGTGCCACAGTGGAAATCCTGAATTAAAATGGATGTTTGGCTTTTTCCTGTTTTCTCTTTTCAGATACAAGCCCTTCTTCCCATTCCAAGTACAGCCTCCGCTGGGTTCGGCTTATGATTTGGACCTGTCAGTCCAGGACAGCAGGCTGGTGGAAGGCCGACTCAAAGTCACTCTAACTGAATGTAGCAGGCGAGACATTTTAATTCTTTCTGTATTTAGCACACACCTTTCCTGATAACTCTGTCCACATAGTTTGTATACTTCTGGTTTAGATCTGTTTGTCCTGGTTTGTATAGCTCGTTAAGTTTCGATATTGAACACAATGTCTCATTTCAACTGTAGTAAGGTAGAAAGAAGCAAATTTACATCAAACTGAGCTGTTAAAGATATAAAACTGTATTTTTTTGTGAAGAATCAACAACAAGTGGGACACAATCATGAAGTGGAACGAAATTTATTGGATATTTCAAACTTTTTTAACAAATAAAAAACTGAAAAATTGGGCGTGCAAAATTATTCAGCCCCCTTAAGTTAATACTTTGTAGCGCCACCTTTTGCTGCGATTACAGCTGTAAGTCGCTTGGGGTATGTCTCTATCAGTTTTGCACATCGAGAGACTGAAATTTTTGCCCATTCCTCCTTGCAAAACAGCTCGAGCTCAGTGAGGTTGGGTGGAGAGCGTTTGTGAACAGCAGTTTTCAGTTCTTTCCACAGATTCTCGATTGGATTCAGGTCTGGACTTTGACTTGTCCCCCCCTGGTTTGTCCAGTTCTGCTGCTGTCGGACCTTTTGATCAATCAACATTTCAAAAAGCATGTTTTACAAAGAGAAAACTGCACAGTACAAAAACTGTCTAATTCAGTCAACACATATTCATTCCACACAAAGGAAAGAACAAATAAAGAATCTGAAGAACAGTCGGAACTTAACTGCCTCCTTTACATCTCTGTGACAGTGGCGCCTGCCATTTCATAGCATCCTCACACCCTATGGCATCTCCAGAGCCCATTATACTGCACAGACCACACTCTGTCTCACCAGTCTGAGATAAACACTCTCTTTGTCCAAAGTGGGCATGTTTAAATTTTAATTGGCCAAAGAGGAAAAAAACAGTTACCCTAGGCTTGCCCTGATAGCGAGGCCTGTCTCTTGTTACCTTGTAGAGACAGATGGCTTGTGTGTGCTTTGAACCATACGTCTCTGTGGTCGGCTCGGGTGTGTTCAGTAAACCACAAGATGATCAGCTCAGGTTCATCTATCAATAATTTATGTCCAGCCTATTATAATCATATGGTGTCTTTTCTTCCCCTTCCCTCTTAAATCACCTTGGGCCCGTCTACTAATTTAACAGTTTAATTAGTTCATATCAAAGCTTGTTTACATTCTTGGTAGAAGTTTAAAGGTATCAGGTGTAGTATGTGATAAACGTCCAGTAGAGGGAAGTACCTACCTGTTTATCGTGCTGTGTGGAATTTTGCCAAGGAAACACTTCAGGCATATTGAGAGAGGCCAGCATCGTGCCTCTAGAGATCATCACACTTAGATGTGCTATATTTCACCTTGAGGTAGTCAGGGGTAGTCTTGTCATCTGCGTTACAGCAGGAAACCCGTCTGATGCATTGATCTCCCTAGCACAGCAGGGGGTAGTAGTAGCCACCCTGACAGCTTTTCTTTTCCAGTAGCACAATGCACAGGCAGGTATTGTGAGCTGCTTATCCAGCTTAATTCATTGCATTTTCACTGTTAATGCAACAGTGGATTAATGAGGGACTGTTAGTACAGGACAGTATAAGAAAGCCAGATAAAGTCTTTACTGGGCCAAGAGCTGAAATGGTAAGTCAAATAATCAGTCAGTTGATCAGAAATTAATTGGCAACAATTTTCATAAACTTGTGAACAGTGTAAGTCATTCTTCATGCACATATGCCAAAAATGGACCATTTCCTGCTTTTCCTTCTCCTGCATAGTTTAATTGAGGACCTTTTGGGTGTTTTGGACAAAGCAAACAGTTTAAAGATGCCACATGTTTTAGATCTAACAAGATACTGATTTATCAAAGTATCCAGCAAATAAACATAATGAAAGTAGTCCTTATTTGGGGGTCTTACTGGAAAAGGTTCGGTGCTGGCAGGAATATTGTTCTTTTTGCAAGTGAAATAAATGGCTTGCTTTTGGACTATGAATTACATGACCTACTGTTCCCACAGTGCAAAAAACTATCTTTTCCTATGGCACGCACCTTGTTTATCAAAATCCATGTCACTAGTATGTAACATAGGCTTTTAACAGCTGGTGTGGCTCTCACATGTCTCGTGTGGTGTTCTTGCAGACTGTTCATCCTGGGCTCCTATGACCGAGAAATCTATGTTCACTGCACAATCGAGCTGAGCAGCCACGCGTGGAAGGAGAGGATTCGCTCCTCCATCAAACAGGTGGGTTCCAGTCACATTGTTTTATTATAATGCTAAACTAATGCGACGTCTTGGCAGTGTAGTGATAACACCCAGAGATCTCTGGTTAATATTGTAATTTCAATTTGTGTGAACAAAGGGACACAAAAACGAAATCATTGCCGTGTCACATGTCAAATAATCTAATAATGTTGCAGCGCTGGATATAATGTTATTAGTGTGACATTATTCATGTTGCCTAAACACTTTTATTACAGTTTAACATACGTTTATTGCAGTGTTTGCTGTGGCTTTAATATTTGCTTTTGAAGCATCTGTGGGAGTACGAGAGTGACCTGAGACATAGAAGGCAAAGATGCTGCAAAGACAGCGAATGATGACACAAAGAAGCAGAGCAGAAAATCTGACAGGTTAAATAAACATTTAAGTGTGGATGGAAGCTCCTGTTCTTTTTACATCCCTCCCAGCTGCCGCCGGAGCTCACTGAAAAATCTGTCACCTCCACCCACACACAAAAGGAAATCAGGTTCAAAGTTTGTTTGAACAATGATGGCATGTCAATATATGTGAGGAATGAGACTGGCTTAGGCATCACATGTAGCAGCACTACAATCTCTAATGACAATTACGGTCTGTATTTTACTTACTTTGTGCAGTTTCCCCACACACAGACTCTACTTGGGTGGGCCTCCCAGGTTTTATTAACAGCCACCCAAGTAGAACTGGCAACCCTTTTTTATTATTATAATTTCTTTCAATCTGTCAGAGAACTTCACCATTCATGATTGATTAGAGAGCTGTTTCCCCTCACTCTTGATTTTCTATACTGTTTTACCATTTAAAATGGGTACAATCTTATTTCATAGTAAATCTGCATGAGGTGCATTGATTCTCTCAGCTGCTCCTTACCCATCTCTCTCTTTCTCTCTTTCTCGCCCACACTCACACTGACAGCGGACCATCTGTGAACAGTCCCGCCTCTCTGTATTTGTGTGTTTAACTCTCCTAATAGGTTAGTAGCGAGCTAGTAAGGCTACTTGAGCAAAAGTCAAGATCAAAGATTTTTATTGTCAGTTCACTGTATGTGCAGGACATACAGAAAATCGAAATACCGTTTCTCTCTCACCTAGTATTGAATGCCATACCATTTAGGAAACTAAAATAGAATAAAAGTAAAGTAAAAATAGACTAAAAAGAATAAGAAAACTAAGTCAAAATGACTAGGATAAAAACTAAACGGTACAACCTAATAGGCTATTACTCAAACCCTGTGCAATCAGTGATAGTAGTGCAAATAATAACAAGAAGATTGTCAGATGGTTGTGAGATTAAGATGCACATGGACAGTAGTGCAAATGACCAACAGCAGCAGATATGATGATAAAAACAGTCAACAGCAGATTTACATATAGAAAGTCACTTTCGGCTTTTCCCGTTTAGGGGTCGCCACAGTGAATCGTCACACTGACGACTCGCATGTTTACATTTGGCACGTGTTTTACGCCGGATGCCCTTCCTGACGCAACGCTGATTCGAGCGCGGGGTGCCGCGGCGAGAGCGCTGCTCCTTAACCGCTAGCCTACCAGGGACGACTAGATTTACATATAATATGACAAAAAGGGGGAATGTATTGAGTTTGTGCAAACAGCAGGGGTAGTCTTTTTATGTTCTGTGGTGGGTTATGGTCTCGGGGGGTGGGAGGGGGGCTCTGTGGGTGAGGCGGGTGTTAAAGATGTCCGTAAGGGAAGGCAGAGGGGTGCCGATGATCTTGCTGGCTGTTTTCACTATGCGTTGCAGGGTCCTTCTGCAGGAGGCAGTACGGCCTCAGTACCACACAGTGATGTAGCCAGTGATGATGCTCTCAATGATGCCCTGGTTAGAAGGAGCACATGATTGGGGGTGGGGCACTGGCTCTCCTCAGTTTGTGGAGGAGGTAGAGGCATGTTTGAGCTTTCTTGGCCAGTAATGTGGTGTTGATGGTCCAGGAGTGGTCCTCAGAGAGATGCACCACCAGGAACTTGGTGCTGCTCACTCTCTCCACTACAGCACCGTCGATGGTCAGTAGTGGATGTTTTAGAGGGTTTCTCCTGAAGT